AGGATAAACAACAAAAAACGATGAAGGTCATGATCATCTCTGTTCGTGCAGAAAAAGCATTTGGTAAGATCCAACACCATTTTCATTATAAAACCCAAGGTAAGACTAGAAGGTAAATCAACATAAAATCCATGATTTGAAGAGCCCACATGTACATCGTATTCAATGGGGAAAAACTTAATGTTTTTTTTCTTCTAAGATCAGGAACAAAGCAATAATCAGGAGTAAGGACATAATCTTACTAACAGACAGACGCTGTATGCTCCTTATTCACTTGACATACATAAATTGGTCTAATTCATAGAAACAGTAAGAGTTACCAGAACTTGAGGAAAGTGAAGAAAATAAAGTTGCTGTGTAAATACATTTTCAGACTTACAAGACGTCTCATGACAACTGAATATATTTAAACACTAAAATATATGTACTTAAAATGATTAACACAGATGTCTTTATTATCATCACAAAATCAACAACCAGAGAGCTGGGCCTTATGCTATTTATTTAGGTTTAATATTTCTAACCAGTTCTCAGATAATACTGATGTTATCAATCCCTGTCCCACTTCTCACATACTGCTTTCAAATAGCTCATCTTTAAGGTACTGACTAGTCATAATGCTTCTCTTTATACAAATCCTGTAATTTGTGGGGGAAAAAAAAAAAAGACTGAATTACCTTGGTAGGGATCACAGGCTTGATTGGGTGTGTTAGGTATATCCTAATACAGCTAAACTACTTAGAGTTGCCATGGTCTTACCTTATTCAAAGCTCCTGCTTTCTTAACATTTAAGTTTGAATTATTTACTATTTGAACCACTATGCAAACAAACATTTGTACAAAGACTCTATCTTTAAGACCAAAGATACTTTAATAACATCTAAAGAGATGACGGCAAGATAAAATTATAAATGTACTAAATGCCACTGATTTATATGTATTTTTTTATTGTAATTCTTTGGTGGTACTGAGAGGGATTTCAGACCAGCATTTCAACCACTTTACCATTCTTCAGACCTTTACCTCTTTACTTGAACCACCCCGCAGACTCTTTTTGCCTTAATTATCTTTCAGGTAGGATTTCAAATTTTTGCCCAGAGCCTGCCTCAAACTATGATCCTTGTACCTACAGCCTCCTACATAGCTAGTATTAGAGCAGCACAGTGCCATGTCTGGCCTGTTGACTGAGATGGGTTCTTGGTTAACTTTTTTGTCTGGGTTTGCCTCAGACCTTACTCCCGAGTTGCTGTGAGTATAGCAAATTCACCGTGCCTGGCTTGTACACTTTGAAATAGTGATTTTTAAGTTAAATGAGTTCTATCTCAATAAAAATCAAAGAGTCTATTTTTCCCTTATCTTTTGATTCTTGATTAACTTTAACTTTAGATTTTTACTGACTATAAACATAATAGCACGTTATTGTATGTATACCTTCAGCTACAGAGATCATAACAATAGAGATGAATCATTGCATCATCACAGACTCAATGTGGTATAGTCTTATTATATATAAACAAACATACATGTTCAAAATCCATTTTATACAAGGGAAATTCATCTCAGAAGATAAAGGTTCTAATAATTTTACATGAAGGTGAAATGAAAAAAATGAACTTCAAGAACATGCTGATTACTAAGAGAAAGGATGGACAAATGGGACTTCATAAAATTAAAAAGCTTCTGTACAACAAAAGAAATGGTCTCTAAATAGAAGAGACCACCCACAGAATGGGAGAAAATATATGCCAGCTACACCTCAGACAAAGGACTGATAACCAGAATATACAGGAAACTTAAACAACTAAACTCTCCTAAAATCAATGAACCAATTAAGAAATGGGCAATTGAACTAAACACGTTTTTAAAGGAGAAATTCCAATGGCCAAAAAACACATGAAAAAATGCTCACCATCTCTAGCCATAAAGGAAATGAAAATCAAAACTACACTAAGATGCCACATCACCCATTAGAATAGCCATCATCAAAAACACCAACAACAGGTGTTGGAGAGGATGAGGGGAAAATGGAACCCTTGTACACTGCTGGTGGGAATATAAGCTGGTGCAACCGCTCTGGAAAAAAATTTGGAGGCGTCTTCAAAATCTAAACATAGATCTGCCATATGATCCAGCAATCCCACTCCTGGGGATGTACCCAAAGGAATGCAACACAGGTTACTCCAAAAGCACCTGCACGCCCATTGTTTCTTGCAGCGCTTTTCACAATAGTTGAGTTATGGAAACAATCAAGATGCCCCACTACTGACAAATGGATCAAGAAAATATGGTACACAATGGAATTTTACTCAGCCATGGAGAATGAAATCTTACCATTTGCAGGTAAATGGATGGAACTGGAGAACATCATTCTGAGTAAGGTTACCGGGGCTCAGAAAACCAAAACTTGTATGTTCTCCCTCATATGTGGACATTAGATCAAGGGCAAATACAGCAATGTGGTTGGACTTGGATCACATGACAAGGGGAGAGCATATACGGGAGATATGGGAATTGGTAGAAACCCAAAACTTGAAAGCATTTCAAGAGGAACTATACAGAAATCTTACAAAGACAGAGCTCAACATGAGAAGTGAGATCAGGAACCAGTGTATAGATCAGTTAAGAGATTAATCAACTTGGTTTGTAACACATTTGTACATGGAAGTAATACTAGGAACCTCTCTGTATAGCTATCCTTAACTCAACTAGCAATGATGCTTTGTGTTTATTATTGCTTATGCTTCCTCTTCAACAAAATGAAGAGATAAGGGCAGAACAGGTTCTGCCTGGAAGCAAGGGAGTGAGCGGGGAGAGGGCAGGGGAGGGAGGTGGGGCAAGGGGAGAAATGACCCCAACTGTGTACGCACATGTGAATGAATGAATAATTTAAAAAAGAACATGCTGATTAATGACTCACCAATTAATTCTTAACTACTCTGAAATAATGATTGTAAATTCAGAGGATTATCAGTACCATATCCAAGTAATTAAACTGAGAATGGCAAATAAGCATTTTACTAGTGTACAGAATGAAGAAAAGAGTTATCAAAAAAGACCTTATTTTCTAAAAGAAAAAAATATTACTTACTATTGGTATTAAATACACTAAACGTTTATAAACAGGAAAATACTCTCATTTTTATTTTTGCAAGTTATTATCAAGTACACATTTACAACAGTGTTATCTTTCCTTATATGGATTTCTTGAATGTTTTACTTTAAATATTTTACAATGTATACAAAGGAAGGGACAAAGTATTTAATAGTCAATTTCAATGCAACAATAACTTATGTCCTTGAAATAACCTGTACCTCTTTAAAGTTTTTAACTAAATCATCAACATTTCAGCTTTGCTAATCAAATTTAAGAATTAAAACCAGTCTGTAACCAACAACACTATTTAACAGTAAATTTCATTTTCTCTTTATAGTAGTATTTTATCATATTCACTTAACTGAACTCTTATGACCTTTTAAAGGTTTCAATACTGTGCTTAAAAAACAAAACAATCATGTATGACTACAGAGTATGAGAAAGTGTTGTGTTACCTTTGAGATTATGTAAAAATATAAATAAGCTAACTGTATTAATTTTACAGCATGTTTTAAAATTCCATTTAAATATTTCCTTTAACATTACTTAAGGGAAAAATGACAGGAGACTTAAAATAATTCTTACAAGGAGTTTTACAGAATAGTATAATGGGTAACACTAAAAATTGAAGGGTTATACAGGGAATAATTGAAGGGAATAAGAAGGCATAACGGGTTCCAGAATGCAATCTGTGCCTTTAGTTGTCATGACGTTTAAATTCCTATGTGCCTAAATAAAGTATTTTAGAACTAGACTAAATTATTCTAGCATTTCAGATGCTGTTAAATACCAATTATTTGGAATTCTAATCTTACAAATATATCTTCTACTAAATATGAGTATCAATGGCACAGAAAAAGTGAAATGTAAAAACTCAGTAACAAAAGTAGAATAAAGCAACATTAGGCCAGAAGGCTGCTTATCAAGTAGGGAAATTTTTTTCAAATTCCCTACAATATGCCAGATTGTGCCAATAGTTAATTTAATAAACTTAAAAAGTATTTTATCTTCTCCAAATATGTTAACCAAACTCTAATGAACTGAACTCATTTTTATATTGTATCTGTATGTGTAAGTAAAAAGTATGTCAATTCTTTAATAAAAAACAAAACTAAAGACCTGGCTATTTCATCTTTTAATGAAAGCCAATGTGCATGGTAATTCTTGTTAAAATTTCCTCACTATCTAAGACATAAAAAAAAAGCAGCTGAACTTGCCAACTATAAGTTGGAATTAACACAAATTATGTTAATTGAGCCACTACTTTCCCTTAGTCCTCCTTTCTTTGCCAAAGAAATCCTCACAGGATGTTCAGTGAGAACTGAAGGACTATGTCTGGATTAGCTTTCCAGAAAGAAATTAAGGTATAAAACTGAACTTTTATGAAATATTCTACCTAGAGATAATTTAATTTCCATTTTTAAAAAATTATCAAAAATAAACAACCTTTAATTTCACTAATGTCCTTACTTTCCTTCACTGGAATGTTATCTCTCTGAATAGCAAGTTTACAAAAGGATTTTATACATTCTTGGATCTTTCAAGTTATTATAAATTTAATACTTTACATCACAGTCTTAAATTTTTGGATTGTCTGGATAATTTCGTAATAAATAGCACAGACATATCTAAAATTTAGGCTACAGTTAGATGCCAAGTTGGGAAAACTGTTACAATTTTCCTGCAAAATTCAGCCTAGTGTAGATCTTTGTAGAACGTGACAATTTCAAGAAAAAACAACACAAAGACAAGAATAAACAATACAAATAAGCAAAAGTTCTCAAAAGTAAGCTATGCTGAAAGGAAAAAAAAAAAAAAAAAAGATACTATAAGGAAAGCCAAAACTTTTTTGGACATTTTCTTTGTTGTTGTTTTTTTTTTTTTTTTTTTTTTTGCCTACAAAAGAAAAATGAAAAATTTTAATAACCCAGTCAACATTCTAGCAAAGCTAGTGGCTCAATATAAAGTCTAATTATCAAGTAATATGAATATATTCAAACAAGGAAAATGACATATTATGACAGTCAGATCTGACAGTAGAATCTCCAGTTTATATTACCAAATATCTAATGTGAAAACGTGTGACCACAAGTAACTTTCAGAGTTACTCATTTTGTCTTAGAAAAGTACCATGAAAGTGAATGAAACAAATACTAAAATAAATAGTAAAGCTTCTAAGACTAAAATTTCAGTACAGAATCAGGAATTACTTTAGTAGAAGTTGGTTGTTGCCACTTTTCCTCACTTATAAAATTGAGTAAGTTCCATTACACTCTACTGGAAAGTCAAGCAGAATAATCGTATTTGTACACAGCATAAACAATGTGAAGTACTGTATGTGAACAAAGATGACTGGCTTTAAAATTAATTTCCTACTTCAAAGCCTGTAACTTTACATAAGTGGACATATTGTTAGGGCAAGCTCACTTCTTTATGATGTCGCATTATGTGCTGGTTCTTTTCTGAGGGTCTTCGGAACCCTTTCTTGCAATATTCACACCGGTGAGGATAGTCTTTTGTATGAATAGAGATAACATGCCGTTTAAAGCCTGAGGCATCTGTAGTGCTATACTCACAGTACTCACATTGATAAACTTTCCGGCCACTGTGTGTCTTCATATGCTTTTTAAGCTCATTCTGTTGCCGAAATCCCTTTTTACATCTCTTACACCTAAATGGAAGCTCTTTTGTGTGAACAGAGAGAATATGGCGACTTAGAATAAATGGATCTGCAATCTTAAAGTCACAATGTCTACATTGGTGCATTTTTTTACCCCTGTGGGCAGCCACATGTTTCTTGAGTTCTGAAGGCCGGTGAAAGCCTTTATCACACATGTCACACTTATGGGGGTAGTCCTTAGTGTGAACTGAAATTATGTGTCGCTTCAAATCACTTGAATTTGAACTTTTGTGGTCGCAATGCAAACACTGATGTGTTTTGCTTTCTTGGTGGATAAGAGCATGTTGCTGCACCTCTTTGGTATCTGAGAAAGTCAAAAGACAAATGTCACACTTAAATGGCATTTCTTTACTATGCTTAGTTTTCATATGTGTTTTCAAGTTAGAAGAATCTGCAGACCTATATTCACAGTACTGGCACTGGTATGGCTTTTCTCCAGTATGGATTCGTATATGTTTTTTGAGCTCTGAAGGGTGACGAAAACCTTTACCACACTCTACACAAATGTGAGGAAAGTTCTTGCTGTGGACCGCCAAAAGATGCCGATTCAATAACCCTTGTTCAGCTGTCTCATAGTCACAGAATTTACACTTGTGCATTTTGTTGGCTCCTTTTTCCTTATGCACCATTTTGTGAGTAAACAAAGCCCCAGAATGAGAAAAATGTTTCCCACACTCAGTGCATTCGACAGCTTTCTCTACCTTGCTGGTTAGCTTATGGTTCTCAAGGTGATTGTGTAAACTTATCTTCTTATTGGTAGTGTAATCACAATCAGTACAACAGTACTTCTTCTTGGCAAGGTATTCAGGGTGGTTTTTCATGTGTCTTTTCAAGAAACCTCTGGACTTAAACTTCTTCCCACAAAACATGCAAGGGTAGACAGTTAAGGGATGTCCATCAGGGCCAATAATTATTGCTAAGGAAGGAAAAGAAAAATGTATAAGTGCTTCAACCAAGTTCTGTTTTGGCTTCTTCAAAAGTTAAAGTGTGTTTTGTGAATATTATTGAGTAAATACTTATGAGCAATTAATATCCTTTCACTGCTTTACAATGTAAGAAATATTGAAAAGTTTCACTAAAGGAACCTGGATTAGTATGACTATACTAGGTTAAAAGAAACCAAGTAATGATGGAAGAAAATTCACTTAGGATACCAACAGAAAATCATTTATAAATAAAATCCCATATTTTTACTTTATTATTACAACTCAAATTTATGCACATAACCCAAAGTTGAATAAAGGTATGTTTAATCACATCTATAAAAAAAATTTCTACCAATCAAATCAGTATAAAAACATATAGGAAAGAAGTATGTTCTGTGAACATTTAAAGTACTTTCCTGCTTCTCTATAAATTATTCTTGAGAGCTTGTTTGGAGGTTCTAACAGGGGAGTGCAGCTACCGTATACCCCTGACCGAAGAACGGTCCTCCTCTATTGGGGAAGGTCATCTTCTTTGACCTAGCGTGCAGCTTTGAGAGGGATGCACATGGAGTGGTGAGGGAGGAAGGGAACACCCGCCTAGCCAGCCAGATCAGCTGGATCAACCCTGGTGATCAGTGGGGTGACAGATGTCACAGTCAGATCACCATCACATCCTTTAAATTACTGTTTATGCTGACATTTCCTAAAGTCTGTTCACTTAAAAATTAAATAATGTATTTTAGTGTTTTCATTCCCACTAAAATCATTTGAGATTTTAATTCTTTTTCCTTAATGTCTGATCCACACCAGTTTATTTATTATAGAAGGAAATCATTCATGAATATCAGTAAAGGTTCTGAAAATTTTATTTTCAATTCAATACAAAAATGCTATCTGTGGTCTAGTAGTAAAAATGCAATAATGACACCCTGGGGGACACATACTAGTATCTCCATAAAGAGCTCACAGAGCATGCTGCATTGAGGAATTCATGTTCCTCACCTGTTTGGTACTGCCTGGAATCAGTTCTTCTCCTTTTCTTTGGTTTTTGTTTAGTCAGTCTGCCGAGGCCAGCAGACTCATCTATCTGCAAGACGGCACTTGCAGTGCCGTTCCGGTTTTCAATTCCATCAGAATTATTACCTAATAATGTGTATTAAAAAACATTACACAGTATTATGAATTTTAAAGAATTAAGAATTCTTAATTAACCACAACAATTAAGAATAAGTCCTGATACTCATGAATGACAGAAATTTCCTATTTTAAGTAATAGATTAACGGACACATTTTTATCAAAAACATAGCAAATGCCTAGCTTCCAAATCCAGCCATCTCAAAAGAAGAAAAAAACCAAAACACACACACACACAAAAACAAATCCAGCCATTTCCCAAAACTAGACAGTCATGAGCCAGATATAAGAAAAATAAAAATTACTAGTTTGAAAGGCATAAGAGAAATTCATATTAAAATTAAGGGAGAGGTAAACCACACAACCTGAGTGCTCTACATTTGCTAAAATCATCAAAATAGGTTACTTCATATTTCTGAATTCCTAAGTTCACAGAAACCATTTTTCAATAAATGCATATTTAATCCTTCTAGCTGCTATGTGACTTACCATAAGCTGCTGCCCATGCAATTGGCATAAAGGCTTTCATTTCATTGTCATCTACTCGTTGATCATGCACAGCAGAAGTTGCTGCTGCTGTAACAGCAGCATCCTCTTCTCCTACTATCACTTCCATATAAACTTCATCAGTGATTTCAGCAACATCTAAGTGCAAATAAAATTCACAAGAAAAATAATCAATATTCAGTGAATATTGATCAAATGCATTATTTGTTTCTTAAATTTCACCAGAATTTGTTTCTACTGTTGTTTGTTGTTTGAGTAGGGGTGGAGAATGAACTCAGAGCAGGTGCCTTACCACTTAGTGCCACACATACAGTTTTGCCCTTGAACTGCAATCCTCTCACTCTCAGCATATAAGCAGCTAGGATTATAGGCATGAGTCACCAGTACCTGACTTAAATTTGTTTTTATGAGACAGGATCTCACATGTATCCCAGGCTGAGCTTATACTTGATAGCCTCTGCCTCAGCCTCCCCAACTGCTAGGTTTTCAGGCCTGCACTACCTTGCCTGTCCATAATATGTTTTAAAAGCAACAATAGAAGGACACATAAAGAATCATGACATCCTTCCTTGGAATAAGGTAGTATTCTAAGAGCTATTTATTTCCTTCAAATAATGCTTGCATTAAAAATTATTTGTAGCTGGGGGCCAGTGGCTCACGCCTGTAATCCTAGCTACTCATGTAATCCTAGCTTCTCAGGAGACAGACATCAGAAGGACTGAGGTTCAAAGCCAGCCTAGGCAAACAGTTCATGACACCCTATCTCAAAAAAGGGCTAGTGGAGTAAGTTCAAATCTTGGTACCACCAAAAAAAAAAAAAAAAGTACTTGTAGTCACATGAAATCACTCCCACAAAAAGGTCACCTACTTAAATCTTCATTTTCCTGTTGAGATTCATTGACAGTCATATAAACCATCTTTTCCTTGGGAACACGAATACTGCTGTTCTGATCCAGTAGTTCAACTCCATGATCATTCTCAGGCTCACTCTCCACAATGTCTACAGTTCCACCTAACAGAGAAAGAGAGAAAACTTTATTTGAAACTTTTAAATTTGATCTTTTCAATACTTTTATAATAAAATTTTTATTATATAATACATAAATTCTCTTACTGATGTACATTGTATATAATATTCATTATAATATTCATATAAATTATATAATACAACCATATGTTAAATTAATATATAATTAAATGCTAATATATAATTATATTATAAACAAATAAATATTACATTATAAATGTCTTAAAAGTTATCTTGGCAAAAAAGTTCAAATTTTCCAGACTAAGTAATTGTAAGTTTTAAAACTTTAAATAAGTTGAATAATTTGGAACAGAATATATAAAATGCTGAAGGTGTCCTCTTTACCTAAGTCATCTTCTCCAGGGTCGGCTTTAAAAATGTATACCTTGATGACTTCAGGACAAGTCCCATCTACTTTACAAGAACTGATTTCTGACTCTGCATCCAAGGTTACTGCAGTAGAACTGTCATCATCTACTTTGCCAGCATCATCCACTACAGAGGAGAAAATCCATTACAAAACAGTTACTATAGATACACAAAATACTGCTGTTTCTGAAAATCCTGTTTTTTTTCGCACGAAAGCTTTCATTTCATTGTCATCCTTGCAAATAAAATCTCTAATCTGATTCACATAAACACAGATGATTTTCAACAAATATAAGACATCTTAAATACATTTCAAAAGACTTCTAGAATAATGAAAAGTACTTCACATGAATCAAATTACTGGTATTCCTAAACCAGTAATTTACTTTCTTTTGCTCACCCATAGGTAAAAGCATAATTATATTACTGAGATTTCAAAAAATCTTGAAATCAATGTTCTAAAGAAAGCCAGCAAATACTAGTTTTCATGTAAATACTTCACCAATACTACCTATGTACACTTAGTTCTGAATACAATTTGGTCTTATCTGTTTCAGTTAAAATTAAAAATAAAATCAAAATATGATTATCAGAAAGGGGCACTGTAATGAGAATAGATTCATGTGTCCCTAGTCCAAACTCAAAGAGCAGTATAAAACTAAAGCCATGCTGAGAAGTTTTCAACTCTTAGTCCTACTTTTTTTAACAGTGGCTTATAAACACAGAATACAGTTTTTAATTAAATACATATACATATATACTGGGGATTGAAGCCAAGGTTACATGCTTGCTAAGCAGGCACTGGACCACTTGAGCCATGCCCTGAGCCCCCATTTTGAACTCTTTGCTCTACTTCTGCAAATCTCCACAAGATCCCTAACTACATTTTCTAATCAAATTCTTTGTGCTAGGACAGACTGTAGGGTGCACAGTGACACGGGGCTAGACAAACCTGAAGGCACTCTTCACTGGGTACTCATGGCAGGTTAGACAACCTCTGATTTTAAACAGAGCATGACAACGTCAGGTTGGCATGTTTACAGCACTACTCCTTAACCTTGACAAACTGATCTAGACACAAAGAAGGGATACAACTTTTGAGTCTACCACAAAAATGTATGTAATAGGCCCTGAGGCAGGACAGAAATAGAGTACATGGGAAAGGTGGCTGACTAGGAGTCATACTCTAGGAATAAAATAAAACAGAATGAATGACAACTGAGATGTGAAGCTAGCTGATGGATGTCTGAACCTTAACACAGACACTCAAATTTTAAATTATCTGCAAAATGTTCATTAAGAAGAGATTAACTATAGTAAGAAGCTGGAATGTCTTAAAAAAAAAAAAAAAAGAGTAAGCCTAAATCAGAATCCTGACAATCTTTTTTTTTTCCCCTGGGAGAAAAGAGTCTCAGTATGTAGCCTAGGATGATCTTAAACTGGCAATTCTCATGCCTCAGCCTCCCAAGAGCTTGGATTACAGTTTGCAACACTATGCCCAGTCCTGTAAGCATTATAATTCACAGAAACAAAACATGAATTCAGAAAGGAGCCCAAGAAGTCAAAGCTGGAGAGTTTAGTAGAAAGCCATGAAAGAAACTAAGAAGTTAAAAAGTACTAAGATTTCTGGTAAACCTTACTGCAGTAACACAGTAACATGTAAGATAAAGGAAGAATGCAGTAGTGTACTAATCCAGGGATCACTATGTTCCTGGTTGAAAGTGGTGTAGTAAAAGCTATATGGGGCCAAAGTGAGTTGAGAATACAATGGAAAATATGAATTTTATTAACTCCAGTTATGTAATTTTCCCTATTGATGGAGAATCAACCCTAGAACTAAACAAGTGCTCTACCACTTGACCTCCCTCGTCCAAGAAGCCTAACTCTAAAAAGGATAAAAAGAGTTAATGGAAACTAGAATGAATTACAGGTTCATAATCATAGCATTTTGGGGAAAATTACAGTGAAGTATTTCTGAAGCTAGAGGCCATGTAAAATTTATCTATCAAAATAAAATCTCAGAGGAAAGAGGAGAAGAAGAAACAAGGAATAAAGATGATGGAATTTTCCTTAACTAAAATATACTTTTTCTCCCAATATTCAAGAACAGGAAGTAAAACATAAATTGGAATATACCATCTGGGAGTAGTGGGGGTGTGCTTTTATCCCTATAATTAGAGGCTGACACATAGGACTGAGATTTTGAGATCAGCCTGGGCTACGTAATGTAGCAAGACCTTGCCTGTCTCTAAACACCCAACACACATACACAAATAATGGAGAGGGGTGGGTTGTTTGGGAGGGAAAAAAAGAGTAAAATTTGGAAAGCAGAAAGCAATAAAAGTACATTGGTGGTAGCTTTAATTTAACAAGAAGTGAAGACTTTAGTTAACAGTGCAGGAATGGCAAAATGGGTGAAGAATGAGCTTCCCAGAGGGCAGACTTTCAAAAAGCCCATCCTGGTGGTAATAAGTAAGTAAATAAATAACCCACATGCCTTCCCTGAGCTCTGAACTTTGCCTACATGCAGGTATCCTGACTATGTTTTACAAAAATTACTCGGAGGGGGGAGAAAACAGCTATCATGCTCTTAATGGTCTAAAGTGCACTAAGCTTTTCTGGTTTTTTCCCCCTCAAAGCTAAATACATCTTTGCTAAATCAACTAACTAAATTTGGTTATTTTTCCAAAAGTAGCTCTAAATGTCAAACTGAGACAACTTCAAAATGATAGTGAATTTGGCAAACTAAGACAGGAAATCCAGGTTAAACGTGTAATTTCTTCAGACATCATCTCTGAAAAATTTTCTTTTATATGGAGTTCACCTTTTGGGGGAAAGGGAAGGAAAGAAAGGAGGAGGAAGGGAAGGGAAAAGTGAGAGGGGGAGAGGGAAGGGAGATGGAGGAGAAGGAAACAGGGAAGGAAGGAGAGTGGGAGAGAAAGGGAGAGAAGGGAAGGGGAAGAAAAGGGGAGAAGGGGAAAGGGTAGTGTTACTTTTCAATTTCCCTAAACCCCTCTCATTTTAGTGTACTTGGGTGTCAGAACCACAAACCTGCCTGATGTAATTTTGTTCTGCTACCTACAACTATGCAGCTAAATCTAGACAGAAAACACTAATACAACATAGATGGTTCCATCTTTTTGAACACATGTCCATGAACTTTGATTAAAAATGAATACAGCCACATCTAATTTATGGAACACTACATAACGTACACTGTGGAAGTACCTAACTCCTAGGACTTATACTGCCAAAAGTAGAGATACTTTTTTTTTTTTTGGACATGCTATCTAGGCTAGCCTCATCTTAGGCTCTGACCCTTCTTGCCTCTGCCTCCTAAGTACTGGCATTAAAGGCATATAAAAAGGTATCAGTCATCACATCCAAATTATCCTTCCTTCAATAAGAACAGTTTTTCTCATTATAAAATAGGAACACTGGAAAACAGCAATGGGATGATCTATTTGATTATGTGGAAAGAAAAAGCAGTCAACCAGTAATTCAATATTACTGCAGAATTAATATTTAAAAATGAAGATACAAGGATTGAATTGAAAAGAAGATGAGAGATTAGAAGACACTCAGATAATAAAAGCAAAAGAAACCAACTGTGCGTTATTGTCTTAAAGCTAGACACCAATGGAGTACAATTGAGAATACAAAATAAACTCATGCACATGTGCTCAAATGACTTCCTAAGTGTATCAAGACAATTTAGTTGGGCAAACAACATATTCAATAAATCATGCTGTTTAAAGTCTCTCATGAAGCACACAAGGCAAGTAAGAGGATAGCTAAGAAACCCAGAAAACATGACAGTATCTGATGTCCTCAATGCAAAGAAACTAATACAGAAACTTTAAACAACAGAGGACAATAGGAGAAGGGGACCACAAACTAGAGAAAAAGTCAGTTCAAGAAGAATCAACTTAGATTTCATGTACATATATGTACATGAAAGCAATGCGAGGAATCTCTCTGCATAGCTATTCTTATCTCAATAGCAAAAACCCTTGGTGCTTCTTATTATTGTTTATACTCAGTCTTTAACAAAATTAGAGATAAGGGCAAAACAGTATCTGCCTGGAAGAGAGGGGGTGGGGGGCAGGGAGGAAGAGAGCATGGGATGGGGGAAGAAATGACCCAAACATTGTATGCACATATGAATAAACGAAAACAAATAAATAAATAAAAAGTCTCTCCTGATTGAAGTCTAAGCTCTCATTTGATCTGCCCTATTGGCATATCTGACAAAAATACTTTATTTTCTCTCCAAGACTAGATACAATTTCTTTTTGAATTCTATCACAATAAAGCAGAAGTGACTGCATAATAATAATGTTTTTTTTTTAGGATGAACCCCATTCAAGTTTTGATAGTAATTCCAATTAACAGTCAATCATATTTGATTTTATAAACTTGTCCTTTCATTTATCCTTTATCTTCCTATTCTAGTCTTCTGCAGAAATACTTTTTTTTTTTGAGACAGGGTATCTTTTAGTTGAGGCCATCCTCAAACTACTATTCCTTCCAAATCTACCTGCCAGATGCCGGTGCGTACCATGACATCTGCTCCAGATAGAACTCTTTATTTTGTACCATTTCTATGACATATTATCATAAGTTTATAGAAATTTAAGTCAGGAATCTTTCACTCCTAAAATAAGTTAGAAGTGAAAGTCTTTTAAACAGTCTTTTAAAAACACCTCTGATAAATACCATGCCCCAAGACTTACAGGAAATCATAAGGTAGTCCTCACAGTTGGTTTTGTCATCATCTTGCTGGTCCACAGGGGTCCCATTGGCATCTATGACTGCTTCAGAGGCACAGTCTGCTACGAACACTTCTGAAACTATGTCTGTGGTCAGAGGATCAGTGACGATTTCTGCTTCTACTACACTACCATGAACCACATGTTCAACCTCAGATACATGTATAGAGTCATTTGTCAATACATGTTCTGGCATAGACATTGAGGCTGAAGTAATGTTAGAAGCTAAAACATCATCTGGAACTGTGCAATATGCTAAAGAAACTTCTTCAGTTACATTTGAATTAAGCACTTGCTCAGGAATGATGACATTTTCAGATACATCCGTCTCTTCAAAAATACCTGGGCAATGAACATCTTCTATAACAACATCTTCAATAACATCTTGGATTACAACTGAATCTGGATCATCAGGAACAAAGTTATGCACAGTTACATCTGAATTAGAAACAAAAACAGTTTCTTGTACTTCCACAACAATTTGATCACCATCCATGTGTGTAGAATCAGCTCCTTAAAAAATAAAAATTAAAATGACAATTTTTAGGTAAACAGCAGATTATCTCAAATAATATAAATGTTATTTAACTTCTACTAGAAAAATGGATTACCTCCTAAGTAATCCTCAAACATTAATAAAGGAAATTTATTAGGGGAATTAATTAATTAATTAAGGAAATAAAGTAGGAACCTATTTTAAGTTATAGAACAAGTAGAAATTAACACAAGAAATTTAAATTTAAAAACTCAACCTTAATTAACAAGAAATAGTAGGAAAACAAAATTATTGGAGTAAACACAGAAGAAAAATATTCAAGAAATAAATGTTAAGAAATCAACATAAAAAATCAGTACCATTAAGAAAAATATATTAAGTATCATTTCTTTGCCTTTTAGTTAAGATCAAGTGTAAAGCAAGTAACAGAATTCAGAGTACTTCTTGACTATGTTTCATTCTCCCCACTCTCATTCCCATCTCCCTTTGCAACATATCTGTTCTTTTCTTTTTATAGTACTAGGGTTTGAACTCAAAGCCTTCACCTTGGGCCATTCCATCAGCCCCTTTCTTTGTGATGGGTTTTTTCCTAGATGGGATCTTGTAAATCATTTGCCCAGGCCGGCTTTGAACCTTGATCGTCATGATCTGTCCCCTAAGTGGCTAGGATTACAGGTCTAAAAAACCAGCAACCTGCTCCGTTTTCTTCTATAACATTTTTTTTACCATTTCTTTTTCTTTCATTTTATAATATCCCCATTTTGTTCATATGCTATACCTCACCAATATCTTCCATCTATTACAAAGGCAATGACAAAGTCACTGTCTATAAATCTGATATAAAACAATCAGGGTATAAATGAAAAGCGGGGTAGAAAATCACAATCATTAAAGGAGGAAAGACAACTGTTGAGAAGGCAACTGGCTGAATAAAAGTACAGCTGCCTTGGAATAATGTTGGGTAAGGACATTTGAATTGGGTTTATCCCAATATTACCAGTACTTTGTCTCTATCCAGCTCTTTTGTCTAACTGCTCCAGGCCCTGACTGCTAGAATAAACTGCTCAGAATATAAAATGCCCTAACTGAACTCCACTCTGCAGTTGAGGAATGAAGATAGAAAGTTAAACTAATGGAAGTTCACCAAGATTAAATGACTTAACCAAGATCACAATATTTTTACAGCATATGGTGTTCACTGAATATTATTCTGAATGCATGTCATAAATGGATACAGAATTTGTATGTATTCTCAATGACAACAATACTGAGATAAATAAAACCAAGAATTGTAACATAAAATAAATCAGGAATCATGGTTCTTAGTCCGAGAACAGCAAACATGGGAGACATATATTAAAATTATTTATGTGATTAATATTTCTTATTCTAACTCAGATCAACCTATGTCCAAACCAGGGCCTATATGAATGACTATGTGTCTGGTCAGGCCCTCAGAGAAACATAAAGCTTCTCGCAACAAACAAAAAGGGACAAATACTAATAAAAGCTATATATTACATCTGCAAAGTCAGTTAATACTCACTTGAGTTACATATAGCTGTAATGATGAAAGAATATTTTTATTTCTATCAAATGTCCCCAAAAGTTTTTAGCCTTATATATCTTCAATGTTCCCAATCATTCATATCAAATAGTAAGTCAACGTAATCTCCACTTTGCAAGGTAAATGTGAAAACATTTAGTGGCAAAAGCATTAGTGAGAATAAAGAGCAGAGTTGTACACTTAAGTTTTGTGATGGGCAAGTAATGTAACTTCTGAGTTTGAGTTTCCTCATTAGTAAAATGAGGAAAGTAGTATCTGCTATGTATATCTCAAAGAACTGTGGTAAAGATGAAATGTGAATGTATGGAAAGTATCATGAAAAATGAAAAGCTGTACTGAGATGTTAAATTACTATTATGCATATAAAAATGTAGGCCCTGGTAGGTTAAGTGACTTGATCAAAGATAAACACAGGTAAGTGTTAACCATATGAACTAAAATTCTAGCTCTTCAATCTACCACTTACCCTAGTTCCTGGTTTACTTGTAAAACTAAGTGAACAAAATGTTGAGTTTTTCTCCAAAGAACTGAGTGTCTCTCCTAAGCATATTAACTTCAGTATGTTTTAAAGAAAGAATTGTAACTTTGAACTTTATTTTCATCAAACTGAAAATACCAAATGTTAGTCAAAAAACTATTACAAATTGTTGAAGAAACCTAACAGAAGATGTGGAAAGGATATTAAAATTCATTTAATAAAATCACTAAATTTTTAACTATGTAACAGAAAACAAAACCTAGTGAACTTTTATAGTATTATATATTTAGAATAAATAAAAGTACGAATATATTCTTCTATTGTTATAAGTATAGTTTTCCTTACGTAATTTGGGAAATGAAAGGAAAGCCATGATACGTCTCCTTTTGGAAACGTCAATGTCAGGATTGGAAAAGTAGGACAGGTTCAAAAGCAGAAGACTTTTGAAATTATTGGAGATTAGACAAATGACATAATTCAAGAAACAAACTAACAGCAAGGAAAATACTTTTAAAGCAACCTTCCTTCCCTATGCCATACAATCTTCTGTACACCACACTCCAAAGATGTTCACAATTTTATCACTATAATTTCTGACTCTACTAAATTTATAGCATACTACCTGGAATTTGCCAGTGTATGAATTTAAGATGATTTTCCTGGATAATGAGTGCCCAGATCAGGTGAAAGCTGACGCAGGTAAGTCAGAGATTTTTAAGTGTGTGAGGAATTCAATTTGACATTGCTAAAAGAAGCTATGTGAAATTCTTAAGAAGGAATACAGTCACTAAAAGCAAAGACTAGCCTCTCAGCTGAAAGCACTGTAAAGAAATTTTTTTCAGTAGTTAGCCTGGAATCAGATTCATCTTCAGAACACCATATAGGCACACAGCTGTGCTGACATTTTGATTTCAGCCATATTGAAACCCAAAGTATACACATTAGCCTTCTGAGGATAATATTCTGACACATATTGTGTGCAGCAGTAACAGAAACAAGTAACAGACTTTAGTACCAGAGAATGATGATTGGCTATAAAAAGACCTCAAAAAACATGAAATGACTTCACAGGTGGATAATGGAAAAAAGCATGAGATAAGCCTAGTTCCCCTTAAATACACAAAAAAATTATGATTATCTTAAGCAGACTGAGAGCTGAGAACCAAGAAGGAATGGTCAACAATTCTAATATTAAGCACAAAGAAGAAAGGAAGTATTAATTCTAATATTAAGAACCAAGAGGAAAGCAAGGATTAGGGATCAAGAAACCCTACACAAAATAAGAGGTATCTAACCACCATATACGCGGTTAGTAGATATCTCAACCTTAGTAACAATGCTGGTGAAAGCAGCAGGCTCGAAGCATGGCTCAAATGATAGAATGCCTGCTTAGCAAGTGTGAATTCAAGCCCCCAAAGTGTGAAACATTTTGTTGGAAAATGAACAAAAGAACATTTGTGTTACATAATAGCAGACCAGTTAGCAAAATCACATTTTACAGATATGAAGAAAGCATAAATTATAATACTAAACTCAGATTATCTTGGCACAGGAGAGTTCAGCGAAGTATTGGAGATGTGGCCTTGTTTCTTCTTTCTAATTATGGTAAAATTCAAAAAGAGAAAGATCTATTAAAAAAGCAGCAGAATCTGACAATGTGAGAAATTTCTTAGTCTCTATGAAAATTAAAATTAAGATTTTTTTTTGTTTTGTTTTGGAGACAGGGTCTAACTATGAAGCCAGGCTGCCCTCAAGATCCTCCTGAGTGCTGTGGATTACAATGGTGCATAACCACACCCACTTTATTCTCAGTAAAGTCATAGTATGTGACTCTACAACTATTTCCTGAAACTTCAGAAAAGTCGAACGGTCTGAAACTCAGTGTCTTTTTGAAACAAAGGTATGATTTACAGGTTTCTTAAATAAACTAGAGTGCTTCTGAGCTTAAGGACATTGTTCTCCACCAACTCAGTAGAAATCAAAAATAGAAATGGGATTTTTAAAAGCCTTGCAGTTAAACCTTGTGTGTAATATGCAATAAACCACTGAGAATTTTATTTCAACTGAAATACTGTTAGTTTTCCAGAGCAACTGCTAAATTTCCACAATATGAGAAAGAGCTAGAAAGAAAGCAAACAAAATTATGTATAACACTGTTTACCCAAAGGAAGGAATGCAACACACCCATGTTAATAAGGGGAAATTCTCTTTTTTTTTTAAAAAAAAATGCTGTTAGTGTAGATTGAAGTGGGCAGAGAAAACATATGACTCTTGGACACCCAAACCCTAGGCAGGAAAGAAGCTGGTAATATTATTCAGCTGCCAATGTCTGATGAATAAAGTAAAGGAGATTCAGAGGGTGAAGTCACAGGCAAACAAAACTATTTCTAAGGTCTTGAAACATAATGGAATTTTTGTCAAGCTGGATTTAATATTTCTTTATAAGTAGTAAACAATTTTACCTTCTATTTAACTGTGACAGAATGTCCTCAACTATCCTAAAACTTGCTTCTTGAGGCTATGTATCAATAGATAAAAAGAAACTGTGTCCCAGAGTTGTACTTAATACCACAAATCAAAAGCAACATGATTTAAGATGCTATTTGAGACTTCTGCACTGCTGAATTTCAGATGAGATTTCTGGACTTGGAACATTGGAAAGGGAGACTATAGTCTACTTTTGAGAGGGCCACAAATGTTTGAGGACCAGAATGACATAATGATTCCCCAAAATGACATACTCCAAATCATTAAAATACAGCAAAACAAATTCTGCAAATGTAATTAGAGTACGAACTTAAGCATAAGGTTGGGAAATTATGTTGAATTACTTAAGTGGGGATAATCATGAGTTCTTAGAAGTATTTTTCTGACGTGAGTAAGATCTGTTTTGGCAGTACTGATGAGTCAAGTCAGTGCCTACATAGGCTTGTGGCATGTACTCAATCATTTGACTCATTCCTTAATAAAAAAAGATCTGATGGAAGGAAGGTGAGGAGGATTCAGAGCATGAGGGAACTGCACAACTCACTGTTAAAGGATGAGAAACAAAGTGGGCAACAAAACAAGCAACAAAATCCTACTTTATGGGGGAGAACTGGAAATGAAGAATGGTAGAGCGGGTGAATTCAAGTATGATATATTTGGTATATTGTAAGAACTTTGTAATGGCACAATGTATCTGCACGAGGACAACAATAAAAAAATGTTTAAAAAAAATCCTGGCTGATAAACTGAAGGGAAACAAGAACTTAAATCTCATAACCATAAAGAATTAAATTTAGGGAAAAGTATGAATATTGTTAGAAGTGTTTTCTTTCCTTTTCCCTGAAGATTTATAGGAAGTTAACACAGAAATCTTCATTTTGACCCTGTGAAACTCCACAGAAATCTACCTGAGCGTAGTATTTGCCTTCTGATTTATAGAATTCTGAGATAAATTACCTTTTAGGTCACTGGATTGTAGAATACACAACTGGGGCAAAATTTTAAAAAGTGAAACAAAAGAAAACTAAAAATTAAACAAATATTTTTCAGAGTGAGAACAGACATTATGTATGACTGGGAAAATAAGAAACAAGTTAACAGTAAGAGTTTAAAAGCTGACAGTGTAACAGGAGTGAGTTGGCTATGAGATTTTTTGGCAAGGAATCTAAGTATGAATAAATACCAGATCTGATAATTCATCCTTTGGATAAACAACTCCAACTCTGGTAGGTCAGAAGTAGAACAACCAAAGAAACAGTTTATACCTATTCCATCAAAAAACGTGTTGGTTCTTGTGGTTGTAATTCAAATTCATCTTCTTCCATGGCCTTTAATGTTCATTAATCACAGCTCCTAAACCAGGAAATAAAGTATACCAAACATTCATTTTTTAATATCACATTTTAAAAGTGTGTTTACTAACATTTCAGAAATGCCAAATTATTTATCAAAAACCTGTCAATGAGAAATAAGGAACTGACTCTAGTAATATATGGGCAATACCACCAAAAATGGTCAGCTAAATGAAAGAAGGTAACCATGCTTTGGTTTTATTTGTTTTATTTTTCTGAGAGTAAATGCTTTAGGTTTTCTTTTCTTTTCCTTTTTTTTGGTGGGATTGGGGTCTGGTCTGAACTCTGGACTTCACAATTACAACAGCTGAGCCACAACTCTACTCCATTTTGTCCTGGTGATTTTAGACATGCAGTCTCAGGAAGTATTTGCCAGGACTGGCCTCAAACCTTGATCTTTCTGATCTCAGCCTTCCAAGTACTTAAGAGTTACAGACATGAATCACTGGAACCCAATAAAACAGAGGGTCTTCCCTTTCTTCCTTCTTTCTTTCCTCTCTCAATCCCCTCTTTTCTTCCTTTCTCCATCCCTACTTCCTTCCTCTCTATCCTTTTTTTTTTTTTAAATTTTTCACTATGCTAGGGCTTAAACATTTCATACACCAAGGTTATTGCCACTTCTTATCAATAGCCCCATAATTATTTAGAACCAACTAAAACCTGTTTTCAAGATTATTAAGGGAATTTCTGCAAAACTTCATTACATCTATGTATTTAAAACAGTCCCACAATCTTGATATCTCTTAATTACAAGATGGTAAAAAACCAAAATTCCTTAAAAAAATCACTAAGAAGACACTGTTTAAAAATTTTTGTATTTATCACTGACCTCTCTTAACTGATCTTCCGATTACAAACAATATCTATGTACAAGTGAATGTGTGTGTGTATTTTTTTCATTCACTGTTCGGGTCATAACTGAACTGATAACAGCAATAAACTAGTAAATAAACATTTATATTGACAATAAAACAGTAATAAAAATCTTATTTTTATTAACACGTCTGGAACCATAAGAGTCACTTTCTTTCCTAGTGTCTAAAACTACAACGAACAGTTATTCTCCAAACACGATTTAGAAAATTTAGTCAGTTTACCAACAAAAATATTAAAAGCTGGGAAATGCTGGTTACAACTGTAATCCTACCTACTTGGGAAGCTGAGATCAGAAGGATCATAGTTCCAGGCCAGCCCAGGCAAACAGTTCAAAAGACCTCATTTCCATAACAGCCAGAGTAAATGGACTAGAGGCAAGGCTCAATCAATAGAGCACAAAATATAAGTAAGAAGTTTGGATTTAAAATCCTGTAGGGTTTGCACATAATATTCTAGAAATACTCTCTTTTCTCCTCTGAATTCCCAACTACTTTTATCCTTCTTGCCTTATTTTATTTTTAAACATATGTTCTGATAAAGTCCTTAAGGAAACATGTAAGTGATAAAACTCAACTGTAACTTAAAAATAATAAGGATTTTCAGCATGTCAATACTGTGGCAAATTTTGTTCATTTGCAAGAAACAGTACGTTTTTAAAAAAATAAAAGAAATACTGTTTTATGACATTCAAACTGTATCACATACAAGGGCATTAATATTTTGCCAGCCACAAAAAAAGGGAAGGATATACGCTCTAGTAAGTTCTCACTCTTCCCTCAATTCAAAACTACCTGTGGTATGTAAATACATTCCCTCTTTAAAAATGTAGTTCTAAAAGGATAAACTCAAATTAATCTCAGCATATTAAAAAATACATATTTATATCAACTGATGTGATTGAGTTGTTATTCAATTTCTCTGCAAAATACAATCTCATTTGAATAAAAATTTAGCCAGAGATACTATTATCTGTAATAATAGCATTAAGAGATTGGAGAGTTTCAAGTCAGCTTGGCCTGCACAGCAAATTTAAAGCCAAGGCCCAATCTAGATACATAGTAAGACTGTATCTCAAAAACAAAACAGTAGAGAAAGAGAGAAGCAGGGGTCGGGTGGCAATATGTAAAGGAAAGAAAAAAAATTCAATGTGTGGAATAACTTTCCTGTTTTAGGTATTCATCCTCAGGCTTATCAGTTCCTTCAACTCTGAAACTCTTTCCACTTCTTGGAAGTGATATTCTAGTTCTGTTTCCCTGATTCTGATGGCTACTATAACTTTGCCCTCTTTTTCTACTTTCTTGTTTATTCTCATGTTTTTAACTACAGGTTTATGACAATGATCCTAAAATCACATTCAGGAAAGTCCTAACATTTTTAACAGACTGCTGAGTTTTTACCTAACTGAAACCTAGCTTTCTCCACCAGAGTAAATTGGTTTTTTCTTTCTTTCCTGTCATTGGGTTGCCAAATCTTGCTGATCCTTCCTCATAATTTCTCTTTTACTTTCTTCATCACCACCCATTTTCAGCTTCATTATTTCACTATCTCTAACTTCTAAAATTTACTTTCTTTCCTCCATTTTCACAGGTATCGAGTGAGAGCTGGTGCTAGGTAGCAGAAAGGCAGCCCTAGAATCTGTAGGTAGATTAGTTCTCCCAAATGATGCACAGAAAACACATGAATTTCTAAATTCCAGGGCTCTACAATATTATCCCACAACCATCACTTACTGTTATTATTCAATTTTGCATTGTAAGTTGAGTAATGACTCAAATAAGTCTTAAGTGCTTCCTTCTCACTCTATTTTGACTCTCAACATTTCACATTTTCTGGAAGGTGAGATCTCTAAAAAATGAAGCGTGGGTATTTGCCATTAATAATGCCTGTTTTTCATTAGTATGGCTGACAACTGCACAAGTATTACCTGCAGGAAGATGCTGCTGGTATCAGCGTCTTAAGATGTGGCAAAAGCAGCTTGTTCATGTATCTAAAAGTACGTCATTACAGATAACTAAATTAGAACTTTATTCTAAATTGTGCAATAAAAAGGACAAAGCTAAAGCAAATAAAAAACCACTAACAGCTACAAGTTTTAGGATTCTATTCAGTAAAGATAGCAACTTAAAACAAGGGTCAGCTATGTCATATCATGTCCATTTCTTAATGTATATTCCAAAGTGAGTCTGCCCACCTCTCCTTTTTGTTCTTCTTTACTAATATGATCAATTAGTGAGCTGAATAGTACATGTGACTGCTTTTCCTATTTCATCATCATAAAAATTGATCTGGATCTAGGGTAGTAGCAGAGTACATAATTTGCTCTGGGCCTGAATTTGTCACCAGCATAGGTGGACTTACAACAGGCAAAAAAAAAGTGAAGGTTCTATACTCCAGAACAATTTATATTACTGTTTATCTATATATGTACATATATTTTTAAACTAACCTTTCTTGAGCTAAACTGCCCCAATCAGAAAAAACCATGCATTTAAGTGAAACAGGCTCCAAAAACGTACCAATAATTGTAATAAAAGTGAAAGAACATGCTCTGATGATTTAATGAAACTGCTACACCTCTGCAGCGAAATCAAGTAGAGAGATCAGCTAAATCTGAAGAGAATAATAAATAGATAATCCAAAGAGTCTGAAATCTAAAAAACAACGTGGTTCACACTAGTTAACAATTGCTCTGGAAATCTTTTTTTTCCCCCCTCGGTGTTTTAATTTTGCACTTAAAATCAGTTTAAAACTCACTCCTCCAGTTCTAAGTTCCATGACACAGACAATAAAAATTAAGAGGATGAGATACCTGTCAAGAATTCACTTTTGCAAATTCCAGCTGCAGTTTTAAGAAAAGAAAAATCTAGGATTCTATTTCAGACTCAAGTATATTGGTCATTTCTGTAATCTGGTCTTAAGTCAATGCAGGATTGAGTATAGCGACATCAAAACTTATTTATACAAGTTCAAAATGTGAGATAGAAAATTGGTTCATTTTTCTCAATATCTTTTTATGCACTGCTGAACTAAGCCTACCACATAGCTTTTGTTTTTCTTGTTCATGTTATCTGTAAGAAATGTGAAAGAAGTCAAATAAATAACAGTATTTTGCATATGTAAAACTTCATAGATACCACTAAGATGTTCTCTACAAAAGGGACCTGGAAATTGATGCATCTTTACCAGTAATGAGAGAGTGCCTCTTTTCTCCAAATCTTGGTTAACCCTGGAAATTAGCAATTTCTCCAAATCTTGGTTAACCCTGGAAATTAGCAATGCATCAATTTTACTAAAAAAAAAAAAAAAAAAAAAAAATTTATTCTGAACTAATTTTCCAAAATTGACCTTTATGCATTTTGCAAATCTCTGAGTTTATTTTTTTATTTTTTTAATTGTTTTATTATTCATATGTACATACAATGCTTGGGTTATTTCTCCCCCCTGCCCCCACCCCCTCCCTTACCACCCACTCCACCCCCCCTCTCTCCCCACCCCCTCAATACCCAGCAAACTATTTTGCCCTTATCTCTAATTTTGTTGAAGAGAGCATATAAGCAAGTAATAGGAAGGAACAAGTGTTTTTGCTGGTTGAGATAAGGATACAGGAAGTTGACTCACATTAATTTCCTGTGCATGTGTGTTACCTTCTAGGTTAATTCTTTTTGATCTAACCTTTTCTCTAGTCCTGGTCCCCTTTTCCTATTGGCCTCAGTTGCTTTTAAGGTATTTGCTTTAGTTTCTCTGCGTAAGGGCAACAAATGCTAGATAATTTTTTAGGTGTCTTACCTATCCTCACCCCTCCTTTGTGTGCCTCGCTTTTATCATGTGCTCAAAGTCCAGTCCCATTGTTGTGTTTGCCCTTAATCTAATGTCCGCATATGAGGGAGAACATACGATTTTTTGGTCTTTTGGGACAGGCTAACCTCACTCAGAATGGTAAATCTCTGAGTTTTATGTGAATTTTTTCTTCAGTTTTTTGAGGGGGCACTAATAGGGTTTGAACTTGGTAGGCACTGCTCTGCCACTTGAGTTACTTCTCCAGCCTTTTCTTTTGTTGTTTTTCAAATAGGGTCTTGTTTTTGCCCAGGACAGCCTCAAACCATGATTCTCTATCTAAGCACCATAGCGGCTGGGTTTCAGACATGTTACTGAAATGGGACTTGCTAACTTTTTAGTCAGGGGCTGGCCTTGAACCTCGATTAGATCATCATCTCCAGACCTCATGTATTACAAGTAACTGATATTACAGACCTAAACACCACCTTTCAGTGTTTTGAGATGACTTAAAACTTAACAATCTTCCTGCTTCAGTGGTAGAATTACAGGTATATCTTCCTGCTTCAGTGGTAGAATTACAGGTATTTATCATCATATGTAGATACCTTACTGATTTTAAAGAATTATTGTTATATGTTATTGACCTCTTGTCAACCATATACACATTTAAATTTCTTTTTAATGAGCTCCCACAGGATGTGTATGGAACATCTTAACAATATTAATTTCCTCAGTCACTCTTTATTTAGGTTCTCTTAAATTTCTATAAGCATAGTAAACATGCATTAGATTTCGAAGTATGGTGTTTATTAATTTCTTTAACAAAATCAGAATTAGTCCAATGTTAGGTCTTTACCTTGTATCCATGTCTATTTTCAGCTATTCTTTCAAAAAAAATTGGTATCGATAATTTGATAGTTGTTAATAAGCCCTGTGGATAAATTATCATTTAATTTTCCTCTTAATTAACTGTAGATATAATGCAATCTCATTTCAATTTTTAAAAAAGTGAACTACTTAACAGGCTCAAGGATACACAGCCAGTAGTGCATAGACAGAAAACCTTTGTTTTTTTTTTATTTAGTTTGGCAAAACAATCAAGTCTTTACTCTGTCCCGAAAACTGTGTATCATCATGTGGGATTTAATGAAGTATATTTCTTAAATACTTTTCAATATATTACTTTTTAATCTGTATCTTTTACTCTAATTTTAATTATAGCATAATACCTTAATAGCTTTTTTTACCTTATCTGTATGTCTAAACCTCAAATAGTCTAAACAAAGGTTGTAAAAAAAGCAAAAATTCTATCAGTAAACATATTTAGCACACCAGTACTTTCTAAAGTAACATGTACTCATCAGGGAATTAAAAGCTCATCCTGTTTGAAAATACTGAACATTCCTCCCTCAAACTGTAACTGGTTCCTTACAACACATTGTTTATGCTAGTCTAACTGATAAAAAAGATAAAGAAAATACAATGTAATTACATTATAAGGTAAACATAAATGTGATGAGGTGGTTTACACCAGAAGGATGGAGGTTTTGAGACCTCCTTAGGCAAAAAGTTTGCAAGATCCCATTTCATCCCAAAATACTCTGGGTGTAGTGGTGCACACTAGCCAGGAAGCACAAGCAGGAGGACTGTGATCCCAACCAGCTTGAACATAAAGATCCTATTTTTAAATAACAAAACTAAACAGGACTGGAGGCATGGCTCAAAGTGTCCCCACTTTCCAAGTCCAGGCTTGAATTCAACTCCCCGTGTTGCCTAAAACAGTGGTGGGTAAGACTTAAAAAAGAAATGCATGACCACAGCCATAACCACTGACTTACACACAGATTTCTCTGGCCCACCAATTACAACTAGAGAAAGATTCATAACAATAATAAAAGGAGAGCTTTTTTCCCAAAACAGAAGTAGTGAACATCAAGATCAGAAAAACCTCAGTTAGGCCTGTAAAGCAGGCCTGTAATCTCAGGTACTTCTGGAGGCAGAAACACCAAGAGTTAGAAGCCAACCCTGGCAAAGTTAAGACGTTATCGCAAAACAATACAAAGAAGAAGAATATCAAGTGGTGTAACACATGCCTAGCAAGCTTGAATCCCTGGGTTCAATTCCAGTACCACAAAAAACCAAAAGAAACACGACAAAAGATCTTAGAAAATTGTCAAATTTCTTGAATAAATAACTGCACAATGTAGCTCAAATATGTGAAATTACTTACTGTTCTGTGCTATCATAATTCTTGTCAGAAAAACTATGCCAAATATAACTTCTTCACTTGCATTTTTTTATTGGGTGGGGGGTGGAGTTTCAGAGAAGTAGTATACTGTTACGATTATAGCTAAATTTCATTTTTAAAAGACGAACACATTTGTAGGGTGTAGTGGCTCATGCCACCTACATATATGGGAAGACTGTAGTTCCATGCCAGCCAGTGTGAAAAGAATGCACTGCAACAAGTAAGTTGAGCATGGTGTGCCCACTGTTAAGTCCAGCTATTTACAAGACACAGGCAGGAGAATCTGAGACAGATCCTGGGCTGAAGAAAGAAAACCTTCTATGAAAAATAACTAAAGCAAAAAAGGGCCAGGGGCATAGCTCAAGTGGTAGAGGATCTGCCTAGCAAGAACAAGCCCAGGTACCCCAGAACCAACACACCAAAATAAAAAATAAAAAAAAAAAAAGAGAAACACACACATGCACGTAATTTCCTAATTTTTTCATCTTCAAAAATCTCATAATTCTATTTCATTTACAGAAATAAAATCTCAAGATATTTTTTGCTGGTGCTTATCACAGATTGTGTTCATACACTGAATACATAGAGAAAGGAGGCAAAGTTAAACCCACCTCATACCATTCAGCCAAACCCACCCCATACACACTTCAGCCAAAACCCACCCCATACACACTTCAGCCAAGGGCCTGAGCCTGGGCTATATTGTGAATGGGGACCCAAGAGGTGGGGAAAAAAATTTTGTCACTATGTCACTACATACTGTAATATTTTAAACTGGCTTCCATTATCTAGATGACTTTCACATAGAAATCCTCAGAAACACACTTAAGTAACAAGTCAGTGTTTTAACATTGTTCTTCATTTTTCCAGTAAGTAATTTAATAAAACTTGAGTCATTTTTTTACTTCATCTATCTTTCTACTCATCTAATTTTATAATAGCACAGTGAAATTTATATCTTTGTTTTCTGACCATCTAACTTTATCTTTAAATAGATGCTTAAAAGAAATAAAAATGTTTACTGATATGTGCCCACTGTTGGCACACCCAACATTTAATGAACGTTGCTACACTTCAAACACAAACAGGCCACAAAACACGATGGGAACCGGTAATAACCCACTATCATCAATAGATAGGTTCTTCAGACAAAAAAGTCAACAAAGAAATTTCACAATTAAAATGACACCATAGAAGGAATGGGGTTATCCACAGAATATTTCATACAGTAGCAGCACACTAAACATTTCTCTCAGTAGCCACTGGAGTGTTCTCCAAGACAGGTATTCAGGGGACAAACCAAGTCTTAACAATATAAGAAAAATAAAATTACTTTCTGTATCCTGTCAGACGATAATGAAACAAAATTAAGAGTCAACAGAAGAAACTGCAGAAAATAACCAAACACATTAAGACTTAACAACACGTTGTTGAATGATCAGTGGTCCCATTGAAGAAATAAGGTTAGAATCAAAAAGTTCCTGGAATCTAACAGAAATGAAAAAATAACCTACCAGAACCTCTGTGATACAGCAGAGGCAGAGCTAAGGCAAAAGTTATAGCTGAATGCCTACTAACTTAAAACACAGAAAGACCTCAAATAAATGACCTTCTGATGCAATTTAAGTTCCCAGAAAAGCAAGAACAGGCTAAACCCAAATTAGCTGAAGTAAAGGAATAATAAAAATAAGGCCAACATCAGGAAAAGAGAGCCTCCCCCAACTATACAAAGACTCAACAAAAAAAAAGTTGGTTCTTCAAAAAGATAAATAAGACTTACAGACTCTTAGCCAATCTGACAAGGAGGAGGAAAAGAGGATCTTTAGGGACTACTTTGAAAACATATACTTAAAACTGAAAAGTCTAGAAGAAACTGGTAAATTTGTAGATGCACATGACAAACCAAAATTGAACTAAGAATATATAAATCACATAGGCAGAACTGTAGAAAAGAATGAAATTGAAGCACCAAAAGAAAAACCCAGGACAATGCATTCACTGCTAATTTCCACAAAATCTTTAAGAAGTAACATCAAAGTTCATCAAACTTTTCTATGAAATAATAAGGGAATGAATATTACCATACTCATTCTATGAAGCTAGTATTATATTCACACCAAAATCGGACAAGGGTGCAACAAAAAAAAAAGGAGGATTACAGGTCAATCTCGTTAGTAAACGTAGTGGAAAATTTCTCAGTAAGATACTAGCAAACTGAATTCAACAACGCACCAAAAAGATCTACCAATGATCAAGTCAGTTCCCCACAGGGATACAATACTGGGTTCAACATATCCAAATCAATGTAAGTAGCAAGGACAAAAAACCACACAATAATCTCAAAAAGCTGCAGAAAAAAACCTACAAATTTAACATCATTTACGATAAAAGCTCCAAAAGAAAATAGGAATAAAAGGAATATACCTCACATAATAAAGGCCAACCTATAGTCAATATTATACTAAACAGAGAAAAAACTGAAACCTATTTCTTTCAAAGTGAGGAATGAGTCAAGTGTGTCCACTCTTCCCATTCTTTTCAACCTAGTTTTGGAATTCCTAGACAGAGTAGTAAGACAGGAAGAAATAAAAGAAATTCAAATAGAAAAGGAAGAAATCAATTATCCCTATTCACAGATGACATAATCTTATACTTAAAAAAAAAAAGAAATCCAACAAAAAACTCTTAGGCATCATAAATATTTTCAGTAAAACAGAAGGACACAATTAGATCTAAAAAAACAAAAAAACAAAAAACTAGCTTTCTGATACCAACATGAACAAACTGCAAAAGAATTATGGAAAACAATCCCATTTACAATAGCATTTGGCAGGGGAGAGGGGGGGGAGAGGCAAGACTTAGGAATAAATTTAACAAAGGATATGAAAGACTTCTATAATGAAAACTATAAATCACTAAAGAAAAAACTGACGAACATATTAAAAAATGGAAAGATCATCCATGATCATGAATCATATAATGGAAATGGCTATACCACCAAAAGCAATCTACATGTTTAATGCAATCCTCATCAAAAACTGATCGAAAAATCTATCTTAAAGTTCATAAAGGAGCACAAAAAAAATCAAATAGCCAAGGCAACAATGAGCAACAAAGAGTAAATGCTGGAGGTATTGTATCTGACTTCAGCTATATTACAGAGCCATAGCAATAAAACAGCATGGTACTGGAACAAAAATAAACAAGACCAATGAAGAACACAGGACCCACAGACACACAGCTACAGCCATCTGATTTTTTTACAGAGGGCTCCAAAACATATTGGAGAAAAGATAGTCTTTTTCAACAAATAGTGCTGGGAAAACTCTTTTATCTGCACATAGAACAATGAAACTTGCCAAGTGAAGGTGGCTCACGCCTATAATCCTATCTATTCAGGAGCAGAGATCAGGTAGATTGGGGTTTGAAGTCAGCTCTGAGCAAACAGTTCTCTGGATCCCATCTTGAAACTACCCAACATGAAAAAGAGCTGGTAGAGTGGTTCAAGTGGTAGAACATCTGCCTAGCAAGTATCAAGCCCTAAGTTCAAGCTCCAGGGCTCCCAAAAATAAACAATAAACCCCACTGAAATTAGGTTTTTGTCCTTCACCCTGTACTAATATCAATTCAAAC